CTTGGCTATACCCTCTATTTTATGATTTAACCACCCATCTAGGTAAGTATCAAACTGGGGGAATGAAAGAAGGCTTTGGCAATGCATCCCGACTTGTTCACCGCCTGAATGTACTCGCCAAAGTACAGAACGAGATCCCCCCTTTTCATCTAGATCCTTTGCAGAAGCATAAGAAGCGTAGGTTAGTGATCGACATCGCAGACAGAAATCACCAAAGAAATGTTTGCATAAGCATCCGGCCTGTAGCCGCACACTGTACCGTTACCTGGTACTATGGGCCCAAAATTGACTGATTGTCACCAAATCGTAGGATTTTGTAAGGTGATGCGATGAATCTGCAACACTTTAGATAAAGCAGTAGCTTAAATGGCTTCAATATGGATTTTTAGACGTATTCGTTTCTTGTGATTCAAGCATCGAATGAATACCTCCAAAGTGATCCAAATCTTGCATTGATCTAATACTTCACCATATCCGAACTCTTGAATGAGCTTTGTGAAAGTGAGTGCACAAATCTTGGGTTAATTGAATGCAGCGTAAAAAACAGTGAGTTGGACAAAAATGGCTCCTGAGCAAAAGTTTATCATCACCAGCGCCTGAGATCCTTTCGTACGCAAAGAGGATATATGAAGTGCATTTGCAATCGCTGCACCAGACCATTTTAATGCATCATATGCAGATGAAAGCTTGATGCGGCAGCAAAATACCATCACAAAGGAATTGTAGGGTGGATAGAGAACGCTAAATCATCACACTGGATTATGATCCAGGCGCCCATTACAAAAGTTTTGTAGACTGTGCATCTGTGAAATGGGTTGATTTTTGATGCTTCTGTAAAACTTGGTCGATATTGTATATCTATCATTACAAGAGAATCGATTAAGCGTGCAAATTTTATATGCTTCGTCCATTTCAACAATTTTGTCCCTCATGATAAAAAGAAAACCAAATCTCATTATTTAGCCTGAAAGGTTAATTCACCTCCAACTAAGGCTTATTCTGCTCTCTTTCAGTTAGTCTGAGTTACGTACTCTTCCTGTAACGGGGTGAATCGTTACATAACAATTTATAAGAAATTGTTAATAGAATATAACTATAAGAGTTATATTCTCAGAATATTGTCATAAGGACAATATTCTGTAGCACTTCCAAGTAGTTCCTAATTGGTTGATATAGGCCATTATATCAACCAACGAAGACGCGCCACGACAGACGCACGCAATGAGTGGTGAGCAGATGGTTGATTTACACATTTGTATTTAGACATAGTTAGATGAAGATAAATAGTGATTTATTGCAGACATTAACTATACTGAATACAGTTCTACTTTTTACTTTAACCGAGTACTCGCTTCTTCTTACCGTCTTCCTCTGCACGTACGAGTGTACGTGAAGTTACGAGGCACCGCCTTATTCTGTTATCAGAATAAGCAGCTTGTACTGTCACCAGTACAAGCTTCAGGGTGCCCCGTTACACTTCCAGTAGCCGCAAGCCAAAAAAATATACATTGAAAACCGATTATATGTGCACGTTTTGACGCCGAGGTCGATTGCGAAGTACTAAAGCCACTGATTGTCAATTGTCACGGCTTAAACAACACCTTAAAAAGGTGAATACCGCTAGTTGTGCCCAGCTTTAAAATCGCCTGTGTCAAATCGTTATTGCGTTCTGAATTTGACGCATCTTTTAGCGTAAATCACACTAATTTACTTTTAAAATTGAGGCAAATGCAAAACGGCTGGGTTCCTTTTTCATTCGGTCGGTTCATCCATATTTGTCATCAGGAGTAGTTCAGAAATACGCTTAATTTGTTCGAAGTAGATCTCAAATGGTTAAGTCACCATTAATGGTTACTCACTTGCCCGTACAAAGTAGCACGAGGCGCACGCGTTGATGAAGCACCGAAATCTGGCTTATCCCCATGCCTTTCACATCGACCACAATATGTCCCACAATAAGGATGTAATTAAAGGCTGATTGCAGTTGTTTGCGGCTCCAAAATCATTTGCTTATACCTCTATTGAATCCATAATCATCGACGGAGACGTCACTTGAGTGTACTCATTTACGCTTCGTCAAGTAAGCAGCCTTGATTACTACCAGTTCGTGGATGACGATTCCTTTGTCGTCAGTTGTTCACTCAGCAACCATTATCCTGTAATGTATGTCAGATCACAACTCCTTCAAATCCAACTACTTATCAGATCCGCGCACATTTTATAATTTCCCCAGTATACCGGAAGCGGATAGTACGTCGCATTCCATGGCATCTGCGCAAATATCGCACTCAGCACTCCGTCACTTGGCCATCTGTTTCTTCCGACGTAGCAAGCGCCACAGCAGCTATATCACGAAAATGTCCGCATATCTGACTATTATTTGAGATTAAATCTGCGTACGCACCCAGTATTGCATCCCTTTAGTTGTACTTGCTGATCAAAAATCGTTGGTACAGACTTCACGACCTCAATAGGCCTTGCTGTTACAATCGCTCTTCCAGAGGATGTTTTCAGGTGAAAGATTAAGCTCGCCTGAATGATCTCCATGTTATCTTCCGTGTAATGAAGGAATCACCACCTTGCTTGTAATTGAACAGTTGCCTTTATGCCAGTACGAATTATCGCGTGTTCTAGTTGGCAACGCGGGCACACATGGACACTGTCCGGTTCATGAAACACACCTTTCACTCGAGACGAACGTGTGTTTGTGTCATTGACACACACTGAAACGGCGAGGAAGATGCGCCACGTACAAGTGTATCGCAGACGGATGCGGTGAAAAGGCTGCACTTTCGGGTTTCCCAGAATTGAATGTTTTGCGCGTAATAAAAAACGCACATGTGTTGCTGTTGCTCATAGAATTGGAGTTCGTCCAGGAAGTAAGGAATGTAGTAGGTTTTAGCCGCGAATTGCACTGATGTCTTCGTTTCTAACTTTGCACGGGCAAGCGAGTAAACAACAATGGTGAATGAGGTATCTGGGATCTACTTCTGACGGAAATTGGGCGTATCGCTGAGCCATGAGCTAAGTTGATCACATTTCAGGATGATCCAGCCGAATATTAAACCCAAGCGTTTAGCATTTACCACACATGAGGCGTATCTGCAACCTTATATTATCCATTAATATCCGTTTAAAGAGTGCCAAACAATGGCTATTTTTGTAGGCGTTCTTTTTGCCTTTATAAATGTATTTTGCCATAACGGAGAATCATTATGAAACGAAATATCGCTCGATTTAGGACAAAGACAATGAAACGGAGTGAGTACATATTTGACCGCCAACAACCTCTAAAAGATGACAAAATGAATGTTTCGAGTTGACAATTAAAATCAACTACATTTCTTGTCACCGCGACTGCAATTACTAATCGACCGACTTTCTTTTCTTCGACTATATTCGGTAAAGCGATTATGTGCACACAACCCTCTATCCTGTAGACGACGAACTATACATTGTTAAAGTTTTTCCTTGTCGTTCTTGACACGATCTTTCTTGTTAAAGCTTTTCGGCATCATCAGCATTCGAAATCGTGTTGTTTTTACAAACATGTGTCGTCATCGATTTGCCTTGTTATATTGGGTACGAATATCGCGGTCAAACAACTTGGTGTTACAGAATCGTAATACAGACCCGCACTCCTCCTGGAAGCAAACGGTGTACACTTACAACAAAATTGCCATTCGTTTAAGCTAGTTAGTTTTGTGAATGATGCAAATCTTTCGTAAACTTGGTGCTGCAATTGTTATCGCTTCCGTACAAAAACAACACCAGTTGTCCTGGTATCCAAATGCTTCGTCTGAATGCCGCTATTGCTCCACGCGTTTGCTAGACCAAGGTCATTGTGTCAATCGATCTCTATCTCGGCTTGAAGACAGATAAACTAGGCTGAATTTAGCGTACACAAACTATCGTGACACTAAATGTGTTGACAGACCTTAAGCTAAACTGAAAATGCACTTACAGACCCATTCTACACAAATGTCTGCTAATGCTCCCTGAATACGGTCGAGTAATATATCACGTGACGCCTCCCAGTGTGGATTCCCGCAACGCGAGCATGATCACCATAAAATAGTCACAATATGGTTTGCAGCATCCTAAACTTACCACGTCGGGACGGGAGACGAGATCCAGGACTTGCTTTACGAATCATGCGGAATAGGTTCTTGCAACTGATGCCGCATGTAAATGGTATGAATGCGTAGCATGTGAGTTACCACGCGTTTCATTGACAATTGCCTCCTCTATATTCGCACCGCCAGCTCTGTGGATATTGTAGGAGCCACCAAGCACTGTACCGGAGACGAGTCGCTCCAAATTCACTTTAAAACGTATTACCACAGTCAACTGGCGATAGCTCGAACGTGCAATTTCATGGCTAGTGATTCGATGTATAAATTTATCGTGCCTGAAGACATCGTTACGGATCTGGATTGTCGTGCTAAGGGCATCTTGGCGAATTCTAGAGGTTAAAGCGCACATTTAATGTGCTTCGTGATTAGGCGCGACATGGACGCTGCTTGCTGGCATATGATCAGGTACTGATTGAAAATGTAATGACGATGGAGATTAACTTTGACAAGCTCATTTTGACTTTACAGCACCTTCGTCATTATTCTTTTCAAATAGTGTTCCGCTCTTGTACGTGCTCAGTCCGGAATACTTACGCAAGAATACCAGCGATTCTTACCTTTGAAGCAAAGCCACTGGCATGTTGACAAGAATGACGACGCTCACTTCGCCCAATACTAGGGCTGGTCATGTCAAGGAGTGCCGGTATAGGTGCAGTTGCACGCTACCATAGTCATAACTTGGGCACCATCCCGCACCACACACAAACAATTTTAGTGCAGTCGACGGCTACCGAGGTACTTGATTCACTCATACTGGATCACGAAGATTGAACCCGACGTGCCGAGTCAGTAGCCATAGCCCAAAACTTCGACCAACTGCAACTTGCTGGAAATCCGGTGGGCTTGCATGCTTACCACGACAAACTATGATTTGTTCGACGATTCGTCAAGCAAGAAATCAGACCACAAGTCCGTGAATTTCTTGCCCTCAATTGCAGATGGATCGATAGAAGCGCTTTCACCGCCAGGAGCTACGAGTCCGATTATCGAAGAAAAGATTCCACCGCCACCATTACCTTCGATTGGGTAGCCCACGCCAACACGGCGTTTCTGATCTTCTGTAAAGTCCTGATATAGAGTGAGCATTACTACGAGAGTGTACCCGCACTGCAAAATCGCATACGTACCAGGATTCGCGCCATTAGGTGGAGTATGTCGCCCTTCTTGTCGCTATCCACATATGCCACCTGTCATCCGGACAACCACGATAATTAACAATTGTAATCGTCGAACTAAGAAAACGCGTGCATGACGACAATGCTGCAAAATCGCACCACTAACTGAGCAGCAAGCCTTTGGTCCACCATCCCACGCTCGGAGGTGTACTGCGTCGCTGTGCGTTCGAGAGCCTATCTCACACATGAAAATATCATCAACCGCAAATTTTACCACGTTCGGACAACAATTCGTACCTCGCGCAGTTGCTCACACTCCCGCGACTTTTTCTCGAGTTTCTCCATCAGCCGCTCGAAGTCGTTGCATTCTCCTTCAAAAGGCTTCGAAAGAGGCTGGCACGACTGCAAAGTGCTTGTTGCCTGCTCGAGTTCTGCTTCTAAAATAATTATACGCGCCTTGTAAGCTTTATTATCCATCTGGAATTGGTGAAGGACGTCTTCGAGGGCGTTCAAATCACGTTGCAATCGCTCCGCATCTAGTTGAGCAAGCGCCTTATCAGCTTCTGCAGTTGCTAGCTGAGCTTCCAGATCATACAGCCGTTGACTGTCGATCGATTTCTCGTGATCTTTGCTCTTCGATATCAGCGTCATCTTCTTCTCTTCGTTTGTTGTCTTCATCTTCTCAATCTCTTCCAGTAAATTTACATACCCTTGTTCATACTCAGCTGCTCGAACGCGAATCTCTTGTTCGTCCTGTTGCAACGTCTCATTAGCCACCCGCAATACTTCCACTTGATCACGCAGCGATGCCAGCTCCTTCTCCTGATCTTGACACTTTGTTGTCAAGGTATTGACCTGATCCACATCAAACACGAAAAAAATTCAAGGTCCAATTGCACACTGCCATCAAGCATTTTAGCAAAGTACAGCATGTTTACCTCGGTTTGGGACTGCTGCAATTCTTGCACAAGTCGATCATATTTTACCCGAGACACACGTTCCTCTTTTGTCTGCAACGTCCGAATATCGTCATGTTCTGCATATTGGGCAGCATTAGTATTGATCTGCTGTCTAGGTGCGATCTCGACTTCCTAGAACGAAAAGTACAAAGTAGTATACAGCATCGTGAGCACAAACATTGGCTCAATACTTCATATAAGAATATCACACAAAAGAGAGATAACACCAAAGAAAAACGCTTCACACCCACTGTACCTGATCGCGTGATTCACTTTGTAGCATAAATTGTGCTTCTTTTTTATCTTCGTCGGCCTGCCGACTCTTTATCTTTATTTTCTTAACCTAATCACACCCAACGTATTATATAAAAGTAGACATTCCATATCGTCAGTAGTCGCTTTTCAACCAATGTCAGCTGACCATCACTCTCGTAATTACTTTATCCTCCAGCGCTCTGTTTTGTTTCTTCTGTTGGATTAACGCTCGCTCCAGGTCGCGTATATATTGCTCCTGCTCGTCCTCCTCCGCTTTGACAGTAGCTGGCGACGCCGCAGACTCATTTAAATATACAAATGGAGATGACGCATCCGAGCGGGCGAGAACCAAGTCCGGGTCCGTAGTGTCTTCGATCTGCTGCGCATAGCCCTCCTCAGGCGCCACAATGTCGGCGAGACCTTCGGCTAGCCGGCTCCACATGGTGTCTGCAATATTGAGTGCATGTCTGTGTAATTGTGTGGTCCACTCTTTCGTGTACAATGGGGATAAATTTTAAATTTTCAATACCATATTTATGTGATAATACGACAGGGCATGACTCTGGAATGACAAAATGTGATGGGCTTTTTACTTACTGCAAAAAGCATGCGATCATTGTGGTCGATGATGCATTTCTGTGAAACTATGAGGGGTTAAATAATATTCAGCAGAGCTGCGACCAAAGTCTTGGCGCATATCGATAGAATTAGGTAGTAAGGCAGCACGGCAGAAGATCAGCTAAAGCGATGTCGATAATGACGATCTGCACTTTATTTATATGAGCTGTCGCTGATATACGTTGAGGTGCATCCACTAAACTGATCCTTGGGAGGATTCAAAGTCAAGGAGGCCCCAGCAAAAAACACGTCGAGTTCGGGACCGGACCCAATTACGTGGGTCTTTTTGGTAAGCACACCCTGTCGAAGGACATAATCGCTTGACAAAATGGGAAAGTAATCGGAACTCTACGTAGCCAAGCTATAACAGGCGTTATGCCATCCCTAATGGCGTGAGAAATAAATACAGTTTTCTGTAAACGACTTGGCGTAATCGCTGCGAATCCCTTGTGAGTACTTAGGCGCGGTTCACGCGTGTCTTCGACAAATTTCGCGCAATGCAACCATGCTCCTTATTCATCATCACGAATGAGTAATGAGAAGCATTCCGAAGACCATACAATTACTATTTCATGCCTTCGTGTGGCGGCTGGATGACATACTTCTATATTTCCGACCTCATAGCTTCCAGATTGGATGGTTACATGGCATGAAACTTGTTGTCGTGTGACCTTGCAGTGCAAGTTTCGCATAGAAGACAAGAGACCGATAAGCGTATAGTAGCCTTTCACCACGTCACATTTTCCGTCTAGTGCTCGCTTAAATGTGCTGTCTAGTCAACGAAGTGGGTAGTAGACCAAAGCTTCACTTAAACGTTATTAGCAAACAGCCTTGTGCTTTACAAGGACTCATCGAGAAAATATGCCCCCCTCTATGTCAAAATGACAGCTGCAAGAAGAAGGCTTTAATTTTATACGCTACCGGCAGGTCCTGCAATACATCACAGACTCAGGTGCACGTTCACGCAAACCATCCATCTGATAAGGCGCTGGCTGGGATCGGTTTCGTGAGCAGTAGATCATTTCTCGAGGGTACAGCTCAAGGTGTTGCTTTAGAAATGCCGATATCAAGTTAGACTGGGCCTAACACACCTCATCTGTTCATAATTAATAATCGGATCGAGTCCGAGCGTGGAAAACAAGGAATTGCTCTACCCTAGAATGCACCTAATGGAAAGTGGGAAAGTAGAGCGATCAACTTGGCGGCATGAATCGTCGCCCAGATCCGGTTTTAGTGATCGCATAGCTTGTATATTTAATCAAAACAATAAAAGGACTTTGTGCGATAATTGCGCTGATGTACCAGACGAGTTGGCACTAATTTTGTCATGTGTACCAAAAATAAGGAGCTAGTTCTTCATTTGCTCTAATTCGAGGATCCAGAAGGGTCTCATCGTGGCTACATATCATATCCACGTCCTTTCAATCGGCAAAGTATAGGACAGAGGAGCAAGCTCTGGAACTCGCCCTTTGATTAATATAATTCAGTTCATAGAACTGAATCAAGTAGCAAAACACCATACAACAGCAGCAGTCACTGAAGAAGGAGTATGATGATGTAAATGCCGGTTTGAACCCAGGACAGTATACTTGGGCAACGCAGACAGCCTTTTCTTTCTAGGGTCCAGCATTTGCTGATGTGATCATATACATCTTTAATCGATATTAAGCCAATCACGTACATACTCACAACATTAGCCTACCCAAAGAGTGACTTTGGATATGCCTATGTACCTATGAGGCAAGCTAGATCGTACTTAGTACGTGTAAGGTCCAACTATCCGCGTTTTTCACAGACAGACACACCGAGAAGTACGTTTTAAAAGTTCGGCATTCAACCTTGCGCACAGTCACTAACAGCTGCACCCTTTTAGCTCGCAATTATGTCCGCCCCGTCTCCCAAGCGCCATATAGCCCGATGTCGACGTGATTGATTGGCTCGTCCAAGTTCAAGTCCCAACTGACCATAGATTGCACAAGGTTCTGCGATAATCAAGGCGCAACCAGTGAGAACTCGATACTGCGTCGCAAAGTTGAAGTTCTCATCTAGCAACCGTGAGCTTTGACCTAGTCGGCGCTCCCTCATTGGCTAAAACTCGATCCTCTGCCCATTCTTCGTCCCATCTGGTGGCCATAAGAGTGCACCGACGCACCTGTCGGTGGGACTGTCACCACTTGCCACTTGCGCTCTTGCGTCGAGTCCGTCGCACACGAACGCTAAGAGAAGCAGTTACCGCTCAATCTCTCATCGCAATGGGTGCGTCTCTCACGTAGCAGAGTGCTCGATCCGTCAACTAGACGTGCTAACATTTGTGATTGACAAAACGTGCCCGTATTAAATCGCAGCAGCAGAATCAGGAATGTAGGTCTTCCCTGACCCCCACCCCTATGTTTAGCAATTTGCTTTTATTATCTTTCCGTCACAATATAAGACCTCCCATTTTGATTTGACTTAATTACTGTATGCAGGAAACGCTCGACGACCCTCTTGCGCTCGTTGAACGGCGACGCGCCTCGGAAAGCGCAGAAAGCGCTGGCAGAAGACGAAAAGGGCAAGCGCTGGACACCGGATCAGGACAATGCACTGCGCCAAGCAGTCGAGGAGTTCGGGCAGCGCAATTGGAAAGCAATCGCGTCCCGAGTGGACGGACGCAACCACGCGCAGTGTCTCCAGCGCTGGAACAAGGTGCTCAAGCCAGGCCTGGTGAAGGGGCATTGGGCCTATGAAGAAGACAGCACGCTGGAGCATATGGTGCTGCAAGGCTGTCATTCGTGGGGAGAAGTCGCGACCTACATTCCTGGACGAACGTAGGCAGGCTTCTTTTTTGTCTGGCAGGAGTGTGTGTCCATGTGGTAAAAGTTGGTGTGGTACTGATGTGGTGGGGCGAAAAATGTGGCTTTTTGTTTTGTTCTATGTTTGTTTTATTTTTCTATTTTTATGGTGTTTAGGGCTAAACAGTGCCGAGAACGGTGGCGGAACCACTTGGATCCGAGTATAAATAAGTTGTACGTTGTTGCGGTGGAAGCTTTGTTTGGGGAAGTGGAAAGTGGGAACTGGTAGTGTTCTGACGGACTGTGGGGTTGTTCTTGTTGTGATGGGTTGGGTTTAGCCCTTTTACATTGGAAGAAGACAAGGTGATTCAGGATGGCTTTCGAAACATGGGGAACCGATGGACGCAGATAGCCGAGTTGCTGCCAGGACGTACGGAAGATGCTGTGAAGATGAGATGGAAAGTGTTGAACCCGAATGAGAAAGTGAAGGCGAAGCCAGGTCGTCCGAAACTTATGCCTGGTATGACAGCGAACAAGCAACGCTCTGCGATACCTCCGCCACCTGATGATGTTGTTGCTACATTGATAAATCGACCGACCATGACGCCGGCAATGGCGGCGTACGAGGACAAAGATTGCTCTGGACCAGTGTTCTACCAAGACGATGGCGTAACAAGTGGTTCGATGCCATCTTTGGACCCTCTGCAGACGACGATGCCTTATGTGGCGGAGTCGCTGCCGACAGTGATGGCGCATCACTACCTTGAACCTATCATAGAGCCGCTGAGTGACGAAGCGAAGGCCGAGACCGAAACGAAAGATGCTGTTATGCTCAGGGAGCTACTTCGCAGCCACTCAAACAGCTTGCTGAGCTTTGGTAGCTTGCGTGGGCTGGACTCGTTTGCGGATATGTCTCCTGAAGACTTGCTGGCGAGTGGTGAGTTGGACGAGATGTTTCGAGCAACCGTATCAATATCGAAGGATAAGTGCGAAAGAAGCCGCTTGTCAAGCACAAGCAGCGTAATGGACACTTTGACGAGCTCGTTTAAAAACCCGGAGTCGTTGCAGAAAGCAATGCAGAACCTGGACCACGAGGACCAGCACTTATTTCAGGGGCTCATTGATAGTTGGCGTGCGCAGGTGTCATCGGATTGTGTCAGCGCGTCCGAAGTGGACGACCAAATTGCAAGTTTGCCCGTCGGCCCGGATGCATATTTGCAGTGCAGTTTCGAAACTAGCAGCGGACGCAATATGGCCCGTGCATCGGGCACCGAGGAAACGCACTCATTTTCGCGACGGAATGCAAATGGAATCTCGTACGAGCTCGGTAACATTACGAGCGATATTGATGACCTGTTGGACTCGGACCTCATGCGCCCCATTATAAAGGGTAGATTGTGTTAATAGACGTCGCAGTACGCGGGTGAAGTAACGATACGTGAGTGGACGACCAAAGTGCAACTAGCTGCTGGTTTGTGTTGCTGCTGCGCACGAACGGGGCGTTTACATGTTATGAGCAGGTAAATACTATTCAAGACGAGCAAGAAGGGCGCGGATAGACTAGCAGCGAGTCGACCCAATATCATTGTACGTATGAGAGAAATTTTCGCGTTAGATTGTTGTATGCAATTGGGCATGACGGTGCGACGAGAACATCGCGATCTATTACGAACAATGTGTATGCTCTTAAGGTACGATTCCGGGGGCCGACTGTGAGTTGACGAACACCATTTTTGTGTCGTTCATCATAGCAGTGGCATAAGTATGGCTCCATGGTATCATATCCCGCTCGCGATCTATTTGATACTAGAATAAGAACTGTAACCATGTTACTAATCTCGTAGTCTAGCAATTCCGACATTGCAGTGGACTTCAAGTGATATAGCAGTACAGTGCCGTTCTTTTGAGCTCATTCTTTTGTCCAAAGTATTATGGAATTGACAAAAGAACGGAAATACCCACTTGAATGCAAATCGACTGAACCTGCGAATATCCAAAGAGATGTGTACGTTCGCCAGAAGCTGATACATTGGCAACGACGCCACTCGGAGCGAGTCAGGAATCCAAAAACCATGGCATGACCCTCATAAATCTCGTTTACTTCAGTGCGTAAGACAAGCCACGGAACCATCGCTACCACACACCGCACTGCATTCAGAACGACAGACACGTTGTTGCACTAACTCGATGAGGTACCTGACTGTCTAAAGTCTACCATGGCAGTGCTCCCTTCTTACCCCGAAAGACCTTTGACCTCGTGCATAGATGTGCGATTTTTTACGCAGGCGGGATGCGACAGAATGCTCTTGGTACATCATCAACATAAACGGGGGAATTGCTTACGGCTCCCTCGTCCGGCAGAGTATTTATTTGTAGCGATTTGACGTCACCTGGCTTTTGGATCGTGGCTGCAGCTGGTGAGCTTTTACAGCAATAGGACTATCGGGATTCAGGTACCTCTGTCGATATTGGCTAGAAAGATAGCGTTGAGATCATATTGTGATGCTGAGTAGCTATGACGAGGGCGGGAGGTCTTGCATAATACAAGACGTAGGTTGCAGTAGCAGCCATTTATTGTTATAGCTATCGTTGCTGCGTTCAAGTGACAGATCCACAGATCGTGAGCGATAGCAAAGTATAAACTACAACGTCGGTCGTAATAAGAATTGGCTTATAGTGCGTGGTGCAAGGTAAGAGTATCCCATCCACTTTTCAGCCCGTTATAGAGCGGTATGACCGCAGACGTCTCGATGTTCATAGCTTACACGTTACAGCAGCCATAGATTGTGGTAGACGGATCTTCTAACTCGTGAGGTAAAATGCGCAATAGTTAGTCGCACTGTAGCATTTGCATGCTCGCAATGTGGCAATCGGTTTAGGTATATCTGGAGTATAAGGTGATGGGTGTATCAAGTCGTTCAAAACGTACAAGCAGTTTATTATGAGCTCGCTCCCTTCCGACGCGACAATTCGCACTCGATCTTCCGTGTCAACACGCACTCCCGTTTTTAGAATTAGACGAAAAAGACGTAATCACAACGCTACAATCGGCTTTTCGACCTTTTGCCCAATCGGCTTCTCGACCTTTTTTTTGACCAATCAGCTACTTAGTAGCAGCATCATGAGCGACATTGTTTTAAAGAGACCGTCGAGGGCAGATTTTACCCAATCAGCTGCGAGCATTTTGTTCATTCGCTAACCATCGCCGCGGTCCGCGCTTGCTCTGCTGGGAATGTCTGACAGCCTGAGTACGAGCTCTCTCTGCGCCTCCTGTCCATCTTCATCCCTTTCCGTTGACCTCACGTTCGTCGCTAACTCTCGTTTGTGTGTTTGTGTATACGTGTATACAGAATTCGAGTGTACAGTGTACGCGCGTGAACGACGGCGTCACATGTTGAGAGAGTGATGGTCAGTGAGAGTGATGGTCGATGTGAACTAATGGAATTTTGCATGGAACAGAAAGCGCGAGCGCGACGCCGTGAGCACGCAGCTGGACGCACATGTCGCAGGAGAAGCACAGAAGAAGAAGAGCGGCGGGGGCGTCAGCAATCGCTGGACGCTAGAGCAGGACGAGGCGCTCAAGAAAGCAGTGGCTGAGCTCGGTCATCGCAATTGGATGGTGGGTTATAGAGAAGGTTAGAGAAGGATAGAGGAAGTGAGACAGGATAGAGAAACCGGATAGAGAACTGCTAGCAGCTGACTGTCTTGTGTTGCTCCAGGTCGTGGCTGAGCGCGTGCCGGGGCGTGATAATGCGCAGTGTCTGCAGCGCTGGAACAAAGTGTTAAAGCCGGGACTTGTCAAAGGTCCATGGTCGGTCGAAGAGGATGCGATCCTCATGGAGATGATGCTCAAGGGGTACGACAACTGGCGACAGGTGTCGAACAACATTCCAGGACGAACGTGCGTAGCTGCTGTGGATGCAAAAGAAGTCGGGAGGCGAGTGAAGAGATGGCAACTCTGACGGCTGTGAGCTGTGACGTTTGTTATTATGATTGTTATTGCAGGGCTAAGCAGTGCCGTGAACGCTGGCGGAATCGACTGGATCCGAGCATTAACAAATCGTGAGTTGTAGTTGTGGAGTTGGTGCGTAGTGACTTGATGTTTCATGGACTAAACGACAGTGTCAACTGTTGTCAGGCCATTTACAGAGGAAGAAGACGAAGCCATTCAACAAGCTTACGCAAAGTACGGCAATCGCTGGACGCAAATTGCTGAGCTCTTACCGGTACGATACTGTTTCATGTTGTATCGTGCTGCACTAGTGAATGATGCGTCTGACCGGAATCATGTCGTGACTTACACAGGGTCGCACAGAAGATGCAATTAAACTCAGATGGAAGGTGCTGAACCCCAACCAGAAGACATACACGAAGCTGGGTCGCCCGCGGCTGTTGAATACAGAGGACGCCCCGTCCGTTTCTACTTCGCCGAGGAAACTGGACGTGTCATACGCGCGACGCGCGATATCAGGCTCAATATATCCGCCTGTTCCGATCGCCACGACTGTGCCTGGTCTGACTCAGATCAATCTAGAGCCGATGCTGAATCCTCTTGAAGATAAATCGGAAGAGCGCATGAGCGAGGAAGACGTGATGATTTTGAACGAGTTTCTACGCGGCCACTCGAATAGCTCGCTTGAATCCAGCAGCTTCAAGAGCTTGCTGTCAGCCACAAGCTTGCGGAGTTGCGGCGATGACATCGATAGTGCTGTGTTGAAGTTGACGGCTGCGCATTCGCTATCTGGATTGGGCACAGAAGAGTTGATGGCATCAAAGTTCCAACAAAACGCACATGAACAAGCTTCAAGCCGAATACTGAACAAAATGCTGAGTCTTGGTGACACGAAGAGTGAAAGTCTGCGCTCGATCACAGCGGACGTGGAGCCCGATGATTCATGGATCAACGGCGGTTTGACGCGATGTCTGAGCAATCTGTCGGTCAACAGAGAAGACGGTGGTGACGAGGAAGTGTGCGCTCGCAACCAGAAGCTGAGCTCTCTGGACTCGTTTGAGCAGCAACTTGCATCGCTCAACGATACAGGCTCTTTATTGAGCAGTTCGTTGAATTTGGACGATGGAGACAAGACCCATGGTGCATTGGCGGATGCGACAGACGCGTTCGTGAACGGGCTATGCACAGAAGCTGCTCCTGCATCACAGCATTCATTCCAGCTGATACCGGACGACGAGATTCCAGTCCACGGTCTATCGGACGGGGCAGCCGCATCTACCGACACAACAAGAACCGTGACAGCACAAGATTTCTACAGTAGTGCAGTTCCACATGACCAGCTCTTGTCCGCACACCGCTTTGAAATCTAGCAGAGTTGGCTTCATGGTAGCACGCACCATTCTTTGCGCGCGTGAGATCGAAGCACTTTTACTTTCTTTGTGGCACTGATGTAATCAAACGAGAACTTGCACTTTTGTAGCTATCCGTCGATCCGACAGCTTCAAGTATCCGCTGTATCAAGATTCAGAATGAGGCATGTTTTGCTAAAGTATCCTCACCATCATCATCTGCATCTCTCTTTTGTCTTACTTTGTTTTAGGCACTGCTGCCACAGGGTGACAACGGAGCTTCTGACAGTTGATCCATCCCACAAAAAAAGAGCATATCCGGACTTTCACTCGTCCAGCGTATCACGTTAAGAAGAAGTGGGGGAAGAAAACGATGACCGTGATCCTGCGCAAGTGTTTCCAGACTCTTGGAGTCCGCTCTTTGCCCGGTAAGTGGCCTAATGATACGTACAAAGCTCATTTCCCATTATTTTTGCATCTGGAAAGTCTCTAACTAACCACATAAACGTCGTCTCTGGCTCTTGTGCACGTGTTTTTTGTAATGCTCGACGGCTCATGGTCCCCAACCGCTGGTCCATCCATTTCCTGCATCGGTTTCCACTGTCAACGTGCTCAAACAACTGTCTCCAGTGCTACATCCAGTGAAGTTCGGAGCTGCTGCTTTGTTCTCGAGTACTAGAGCACCAACTTGTCGCGTCGTAGCACTGGGCGACCGTGTGTTGCTGCGCATGGATGGAAAACTGTCGGGAGGGGATGCTCTCCATAAGACGGACGGGGAAAACAACGCTCAGCTCAAATTTATCGTAGGAGCTAGACACGTTCTGCCTGGAGTCGAAGACGCTGTGCAGGGCATGACCAAGGGCGAGTCCAAGACTGTGGAAATTGAGCCAGCGATGGCGTTTGGTGCTGAGAAACAGATTCTGTCCGTGCCACTCAAGGAGATGAACTTACCCGAGAAGGAGCGCGAACTGTTGGCTGTGGGTCAAGTACTGGAACTTGCAGGCGGGGAACGCGCTCACGTTGTCAAGGTCATGGACGACATAATGGACATTGACTTGGCTCACCCTTACGCGGGTCAATCGCTCACTGTGACGCTGGAAGTACTGGAGCACGAGCTGCACTCGGAACTCCAAGCACACGAACGGCTGGTGCTGCCACAAGTGATCGAACAAGGCGACGGCGTGACGTTCCCGCAGCGTGGAGACACGATGATCATGCATTATACGGGCAAACTTGCGGAATCTGGCTCGGTCTTCGACTCTTCGCGTGACCGTGGCCAACCATTTCAGTTCCAGATTGGCGTGGGTCAAGTCATTCGTGGCTGGGACGAAGGAGTCATGCGCATGAGCAAAGGCATGAAAGCGACACTGAACATTCCGTCGGTCAAAGGGTACGGGAAAAATGGCGCTGGTGGTGTCATTCCTCCGCATGCTGACCTGATCTTTGATGTGGAGCTGCTGGACATTGTGCGCAAGTGATGGATCTACATATACCAATGAAACCAGCAGCGGTTCAACGTGCTTCAGTGCGAGTAAATCCCAGAGAGCAGCACGTCAGATGGCTGTCGCTTGAGCTTGTGCGTTATGCATTCTTGATTCCTGCCTTTCAAACGTAACGTCCTCCGCGACAGAAGTGGCTGCTCGTATTCAGCCGAGTCGCACTGATTTCCTCTCTTTCCACAGCAGGCTACAGTGCGTAAACTTGATTCCCACAAGACTGTAGCATGGCCGTATTGTCTGCAGCCAACGACGAACGTCGAGTAGGAGAGCAGCTTGGATCTCTCAATCAAGCGTCTTCAAAATACTTTCCGAAAGCGTCAGGAACTTGAGCTCGCAGCTGCTGCCTCAGCAGATATGAGGACGGATCGCTTGACATGTCACAACCGAGAGCAGCTGGACAATGTCAGGCACAACATTTTTGCCCTCTTGCAAGGACAACAGTCTCTTCGTGTAGACCACCAAGGCCACAAGTAGCGCAGATGTTGCACTCCATCAGCATTGTGTAGATGCCATCGACTACACCAGCTCATGTCAATCGCTAAATCCAAACCGGACGGCAACAGCAAGGACGTGAATCGAGCTCAGTGAACAAAGAGCATCTCGCTGCTTCAACGCCCGTTTCAGTCCTCCGCTTCCAACATCGTCATGTCACGCTTGTTCAGCTCGCGGATACGCTCGAGCGTGTGCTGTAGCTCTCCCTCCAGCTGCTTCAGTTCGTCTCGCCCCAATGTCTCAATGCCGTACCCGCGAAAGAGCATGAGCCGTCGCACTTCGTACTCCGAGTCGGCCAATTCTTGACGCAGGTCACGAATTTCGTGCTCCAATTGCTGCACCGTCTTGCTGCAGTCGTCACTACGGCCACCACCAAGCGCAGCTTCCCCACTGGTCTTCCGCTCAGCGTCTATTTCATGGCTCTTTCCAGTCGATGACCAAATACACGACTGCATGCTCCACCAGCGACTCGATCGTTGCCCAGCACGCCGTCGTCGCACATAAAGGTGAACCACAACGAAGCAACTGGATCCAATACAGAGCGTCACAAGCACAGCCATGAACGGATCGCCCCCAAACAAAGCCACAAGAGCTTCCACCTGCTCATCCTCAGACTCATCCACTGCAGCAGATACCGTCACCACGTCACTCCAGTCGCCCACAACTTCACTCGGTCCACAAACGTCCACCGGCAACAAAAAGCAGCAGAAAACGCACATTTGCTCCAGCAACGACGTCGGTCGCAGTCGCGCCTTTAGCCGCACGCGAAACTGCATCTCGAGCTCTTCGACGGGCAAGTCCTTGACCACTAAAAGGGGGTCCAACGTCCTCCGTAATTGGTTCGCCTCGTGCCACAGCCCGTAGAAAGAAGTCCACGTCGTGACCCACATCTGCACTTCATAAGCATACGACGCTACAATCGCGTCCGTAGCGGCGTCTTGAGCGTGGCCGTTTTTCTTGGCTATTGCTGTTTTTTGTCTTGAGTTTAGTATCCGGAGATGAGCAGCAAATGGGTGGTCGTCCCAGGTCGCAATGACAGTATGCGACATGTGGTTCGTCACTGACACTGGGCGTTGTCGCGTTGTAACAAAAGGTGTTACGAGAAGAGACAGGAACCTGTTGCGCACGGGAGGGGATGAAACGCTCGTACTTAACGAGGTATTCCGTGTTGCAGTACCTCCTCCTTCTGCTGCTGCTGCTGCTGATTCGACGTTGGGGACGCGATAAACGGAGAAATTGTGGACGGTGAGATCGAGCGTGGGGGGGAGAGACGGTTCGGAACTACAAACGGGCGTGAAGTTGATTTGGAAAAAGAAGAAGAGGTGGAAGAAGAGGGCGGAGGAGATGGCGCGTGTGACTGGACGCGTCATGTGGGATACGTCCTTAGGTTCGCACGGTATCCCGATGTTGGTGTAGGTATGTTGTAATTGGTGGGGAAATGTATTTGTTATGGAGGTTTTAGATGACGGAGGCTCCTGTAATTTGCTAAGACTGATGTACTTGATGACATAAAAAGTATTTAGTTATAAAGGGCTTTGCGTGTGTACGAGGAACGATGGAGCCGGCTTTTGACTTATCCTGCATTATACATCTTTGTCTCATCCTGCATGAAATATCTTTGTCTCAATCCGTGATAACGTTTCAGGTTATCGTATCACTGCGAACCAGAATAAACAGACGGCGTAAGACTTGCTTCTTGTCGCGTCCTGAAAGAAGGCGATGGATATCGCTAAGCGAGTCAAATAGTATCGAGGGCCGCAACAAAGCCTCGAAAATAGAAAGACCTACGTGAATGAACTTAACCTTGTAGCTTCCATCTCTCTATTAATCGTCGACTACCAAATGACCTTCATGGAACCGTAGCCATTTTTTTGCAGGCAAAAAAGAGAGCAATTGCAGTGTGGCAATTTACAGTGAATGTCGGGGCAGATCCCTCTCGCGATGTCAACCACAGGTATCGCATGTAAAGATGTCGTTGCTTTACAGTTCGCTGTCATTGATCCTTGCCACATGCGCGCCGTACTTATTCTGCATGTCAGCTTTGACTGACTGGTTTTTATTCATACAATGCCAGAGCAGCATCATGGACTTCATTCCCACGTCACATCAGCAGCGTAAAAGATGTAGACGGAATGGCCTTCTCTTCCACTAAAGGCCTGATATTCTAGTGCATCAATCAGTGACACGACGTCAATGGAAGAGAATGATAGTATATTAACATGTTCAGCTAGTGTTCCATTCATTATCTTGTCAAGTGTGTCACGAAGAGCTCGCTATCGAGTATACAGAGGTGAATCTACCAAGACCGAGGAGGTGGGCAACAAAATATGACATAACTTCATAACAGTCAGCAATGTTTCAATTTTATCCCTTCACTTATTACGAAACTTGTGACGTCCTTCGACTCGCTCCAGCGACTTGTACATCGCATCGTTCAGTCTCCGGCGACGAGTGTGCAGAATAGCAAGATCAGACTCTCATCCTTCAGAGCAAAAGAGTCTTTTTTGTCGTTACTCTCTTCTTTAACTTCGGATTCTTGGTGGAAGACGTAGAGCCCTATTGCGTAGATACCAGCAACGACGTACCCCAAGTCCGAAAGCTTTGACATGATATGAAATGCGTGGCGGAAGTCGTTTTCGTAGACAGATTGTTTCTGGACGAAGCGCGCGAGCTGGAGACGATTGACACTAGGACAAGGACAGTGCTCACGCCATTATGGGGTCAAGCAGCATGAATCTACTCTCGAAATGCTACATATGACTCCGGGTGAATATTGCAGATGCCGAGGTACATTTTCCACTGCTCTCTGTATATATCGTGTATACTATGTATACCGAGAGCAGTGGAAAATGTACCTTGGCATCTGCAAGATTCACCTGGAGTCACTAACGGTCGTCGTCGCTCCATTGTTGCCCAATTTCTTCAGCTTTGTTGGCTGTAGGTAGTACTTGCAGCTTGAGACGAGCTGCCTGGCGTCGCTATAAACCCCTAATTGTACGCTGTCATCTCGAAGGTGTTTCACTGAGATAGATGGACAAGCAATCGATCAGCAATCGCGAAAAGTCGATTGCCTGTGGTACTTTACTGCGTCAAAGCTTGACTTACAAGATAAGGAAGTTACGTCGGATTTGCATTTTGCAAACGAGCTGTGTCAGCATTCCATCTCTTTCAACACCTAAACAATTAATATCCTTACATGAAAACACATGACGGAAATGCGATTGTTCGGAAGGTTGGAGGGCCGCTGATACGTTGGTGGTATCATCCTGCTTCTTGAAGCCCGTATATCGCTAGAAGCCCGTGTGTCTCTTGAAGCCCGTGTATCAGGCCAGTTCTAGCAGACTGGGTAACGGCGTCGCGACTGCAGTTCTACTACCTTCCTCGACAACAATCAATGCCACATCCATGCTGTCATCATTATCGCGTCCTTCCTAGCTAAGAGAAGTGTCCAGGCGCATGCATAGCCTTTGCACTTTGCAAACGTACCAAGATCTTCCTTTTTCAGCATCAAATAGCATCACAATGCGTAATTGTCGCCTCATTCAGCAGTATGGCTCTACTTGCAGAAACAGATGCGACACTTCCACGAGAAAAGGTATCCTGCCCAATATCCAATGCCATCACTTAAGCGCAAATGCCTGTGAATTGCACCAGTCGCCTCTACTATTCTAGACCACCAACGCCACCATCTCCTCCCTCTGCAGTCTGATATCTACACCCTCAATCAACTCCATCAATCAACTGAAAAGCTACAGCCCGCAGCTCTTTTCAGCCAATCCGTGATGTCCCACCATGCCAACACCTGCTGCCGACCGCCATGTTTCTTTTCATCCAATCGCCACACGTGCTCCACCCGTCCACTCGTCTCCGCAGTGGGGCCTTGCTCCCCCAGGGCTTCCACTATTTTGGGGTTTCCATCGAGCAACTCAAGCGAACGCAATCATGTACGTCCTCAAGCGAGACGGTCGTCGGGAAGACGTCAAGTTTGACAAGATCACGGCCCGCATCACCAAACTATGCTACGGCCTCAATCCCGACTACGTGGACGCTGTCAAGATCTCGCAAAAGGTCGTCGCCGGCGTCTACCCAGGCGTCACCACGTCCGAATTGGACGAATTGGCCGCTGAAACTGCAGCCTACCAGAGCACGCAGCACCCGGACTTTTCCAAGCTCGCGGCTCGCATTGCCGTGTCGAATTTGCACAAAAACACCAACAAAGTCTTTAGTGACAACATTGAAGTGTTCCACAAGAACGTGCACGAGAAAACGGGCGCTGCCGCGCCGCTCATTGCCGACGACGTGTACGACGTCGTCGTGCAACATAAGGACCTCTTGAACTCGGCGATCATCCACGATCGGGATTTCGAGTACGACTATTTTGGGTTTAAAACCCTCGAACGAGGTTATTTGTTCCGCGTCCACGGCCACGTCGTCGAGCGCCCGCAACAGATGCTTCTACGGGTCGCCATTGGCATCCATAAACAGGACATTGCTGCTGCCTTGGAAACATATGAATTCATGTCGCAGCAGTTTTTCACCCATGCGACGCCGACGCTGTTCAACGCCGGGACGCCGCGCCCCCAATTGTCTTCGTGCTTTCTATTGGCCATGAAAGACGACTCGATCGAAGGGATCTACGACACGTTGAAACAGTGTGCGTGCATTTCGAAGTGGGCTGGAGGGATCGGCATTAGCATGCACAACATCCGGGCCACGAATAGCTACATTCGAGGCACGAATGGCTCGTCGAACGGGATTATCCCCATGCTGCGCGTGTTTAATGACACGGCACGGTACGTGGATCAAGGCGGCGGCAAGCGCAAAGGATCGTTTGCGATCTACTTGGAACCGTGGCACGCAGACGTGTTTGAGTTTCTCGAGTTGCGGAAAAATCATGGCAATGAACTCCATCGGGCGCGGGACTTGTTCTTTGCGTTGTGGGTCCCCGATCTATTCATGAAACGCGTGGAAGCAAATGGCACGTGGAGTTTGTTCTGTCCAAACGAAGCTCCAGCGCTCTACGAGTACTGGGGCGACGAGTTTGAGACGCTGTATGAAAAGTACGAACAAGAGGGACGGGCGCGGAAGACGATCAGTGCCCAGCAGCTGTGGTTTGCGATCTTGGATGCGCAGATTGAAACGGGAGTGCCGTTTATGCTCTATAAGGATGCAGCGAACCGCAAGTCGAACCAGCAAAACCTGGGCACGATCCGGTCCAGTAACTTGTGCTGTGAAGTGATGGAGTTCACGTCGCCGGATGAAGTGGCGGTGTGTAATTTGGCGTCGGTTGCGCTGCCCAAGTTTGTTGAAGACGGCGTGTTTAATTACAAGAAGCTGCACGACGTGACCAGCGTCGTGACGCGTAACTTGAACAAGGTGATTGAGGTGAATTACTACCCCGTTGCAGAAGCTCGCACGTCCAACATGCGCCACCGTCCAGTCGGCATTGGTGTCCAGGGCCTCGCGGACGCGTTTATTCTCATGAACTACGCGTTTGAAAGCGAGCAAGCGCGGGAGCTGAACAAGAACATCTTCGAGACGATCTACTACGCTTCGATGAAGACGTCGATGGAGATTGCCAAGGAATTGGGTCCGTACGAGACGTTCCAGGGTTCTCCAGCGAGCAAGGGGATCTTCCAGTTTGACATGTGGGGCGTCACGCCGTCGTCAGGTCTTTGGAACTGGACCGAGTTGAAGGAGAACGTGATCAAGTATGGTATTCGCAACTCTCTGCTCGTGGCGCCAATGCCAACGGCTTCGACGGCCCAGATTCTGGGCAACAACGAGTCGATTGAGCCGTACACGTCGAATATGTACAACCGCCGCGTGCTGGCTGGCGAGTTTACGATTGTGAACAAGCACCTGATGAAGGAGTTGATTGACCTGGGCATCTGGACGCCCGAAGTCCGCAACCAAATACTGAACGACGGTGGCTCTGTGCAAAAGGTCAAGACCATCCCGAACGATGTCAAGGAAAAGTACAAGACAGTGTGGGAAATCAAGCAGAAGTCGATCTTGGATCTCTCGGCTGATCGCGGCGCGTACATTTGCCAGAGCCAGTCCCTCAATATTCACATTGCGGATCCGACGATCAGTAAACTGACGTCGATGCACTTTTACGCGTGGAAGAAGGGGCTCAAGACGGGTATGTATTACATGCGTGGGCGCCCGAAAGCTGACGCCATCCAGTTCACCGTGGACAAGCAAGGCCTCGATCTGCAACGTGCCAAGGAGGAGGAGACCGCGACTGCTGCTGCTGCTGCTGCTTTAGATGTGGAGATTGTGGCTCGAGCCGGCGACGACGAAGACGAGTGCCTCGTTTGCGGCGCCTAAGACTGATGTCAAGCTGCTACTGCGTCAGTCAGGTCAGCGTTCGAGCTGCAAGGCGATGGGATTGAAAGTGCTGCTTTGTTACCCAGCACTTGTCCTTGTCGAAGGTAGCAGCAGGACGATTGCCAGTGCACAAGTGGAGATGCCGCTTAGGAATCTTCATTCCCGATTCACGCGTAACGAACGCTATGCCGTGATACGTACTCGTTGACGTGCGTAACGTACCTGCTGACGGTTTTCACGTACTACATACACGCGGTGCACGTATTGACAGTACGCGCCCATTCTTCACGCATTTGTACCTCTCTTGTACATCCTACCTGTCCTACCCAAGTAACGATCGGTGATCCCAAGCACGAGCGTGACCCAATTGTTGCTTCGTGTTGATAGTTGTTACACAAATGTAAATAGCGGGACTCCAAGCTAGCGGCGACGGTGTCGATTGAATCGAAGAGACAGCGCTCCGATAACGAGGATCTGCAAGACGACCGAGTACCCAGCCAGAATGCACATGTCCTTCCAGACGTTCACTTTGTCCATGCCGTAGAACTTGAGCAGGTCCCACGCTTCGTCCGTATCGACCGCGGAGAAATGTTCGTACATGAAAGCCTCGAACGAGTACGTGTGGAACGCAATGTAGTAGCCCCACTTCCAGTACACAGGCATATCGTCGAACGGCACCATGAACCCTTCGCAGAGCATGAACATGCCAAAGAGACCAGCACCCAGGGCAATGCCCATGATATAATGGGGCACAGCTGCACCCAGCAAATGCATCAAAGACTCGGCTGCAATGAGCGACAAGGTCAAGTTGAGCAGGAACGTCCCAAAGGAATGCACTTGAGCCAGAAACACCACAATGACGGACGCAAGGACCGAAATGAGGAGGATACCAGGCAGCGAAGCCAATAGGTTCGAGAGCGTGTACCCCGTCAACGACAACGCGTACGAGCGCATTTCTCGCTCCATGACTGCACGATGTTCCAGTAGAGCTGGAAGCGCTGCCACGGACATGAAGACGAGAAAAGCTTGCACGTAGAACAGCAGCGGCACAATCGACGCGTCCTTGATGCCGGAATTGGAGCTCAAGTACATGGTGCCCACCATGAGCGACAGCAACACGTACATGAGGACCCGCAGCCAGAAGACCCCTGGATGTCGCCAATTGTTGGTCAAGTTCCGCTTGAGCAAGACGACAAACTGGTCCATTGGCCACGGCCGCATGGCTTTCAAAAGCTCCGGATTCGTCAACTGGTCTCGACGTGATCGGTCCCGCACAACGTCAGCGCGAAGCCGTTGGGGCTCGGCACTTTCCTTCAGTGCACGGATGAACGGCTCGATCTTCAACCCGTCGTGAAAGTTGGTGTTCACCAGGTGCACAAAGTACTCGGCTGGGTTCGTGTACATTGGACACACGTACCCCATTGCAAAGAAGTGAGCGATCGCCGCATTCGTCGGGCCACTGTAGATGAGCTCGCCGTCACTGAGGATCACGAGGTTCGTCAGCATGCCATAGATAGACGAAGACGGTTGATGGATCGTGCACACGACGTTCTTGCCTCCTTCTTGACACAACCGTTCAATGTATTGCATCACCCCTCGAGCCGAAGACGAGTCCAACCCCGACGTGGGTTCATCCAGCAGCAGCAAAGCTGGATCCGAGAGCAGTTCCAGCGCGATCCCCAACCGCTTGCGCTGGCCGGACGAGATGCCTTTATGAAAGACGTCGCCCACTCTGGCATTCGCACACGACCTCAACCCCATTGCATCAATCACGTCTTGCACTCGAGCTTCCCTCTGGATCGGGGGCATGTGGCCCGGTAAGCTCAAGCCCGCCCCTATTTGCAACGTCTCAAGGACCGTGAAAGCTCCGAGGAACGCCATGTCTTCCGACACGTAGTTCATGATCGAGTGGAACGTGCACAGGTCTCGAGGTTGGCCATTCACTTCCACGAGTCCTTCCAAATGGACCCCGGATCCGCCAGCGAGGACGCGGTCTGCCAGCATATCAAGCAACGTGGTTTTCCCCGCTCCTGAAGGGCCTAGAATCGCTGTCAACTCGCCCGGTCCTGATCGACCCCAGACGTTGTTCAGGATCTTCCGAGGTTGGTGCCGCTCGAATTGCGCTTCGAGCGAAGAGGTTTCCGACGTCCGTTTCGACGACCGAGTAGTTGAACAGAAGGATGACCGACCGCCCCGTGCGTGGTCCGTCGACTGAATGAAGTACGAAATGTGCTGCCAGCTGATGGAACACGTTTGCAAAGCTGCTCGTTGACGGAACCCGTCGGACGCTGAGCTCTCGGAAGTCGCGTCAAAGAGCGCAATCTTTGGCTTAGCTGCTGGGATTGCACTGCCAGTGTCGTCCACTTGGGAGAACGAAGCGTGCAGGGCAGCTGGCGTCGGACCGGTGGGGAGCGAGTCCAGGTTCCCGTATGCAGCATGGGGCGAACCCATGGGACCACTTTGGTCGTCGTGTCCCGCGTGACGTGCCACAGCTTCCGATCGGAAAGTTGACGGCACTGACCCGTCCGACCGCATCGTTGAGTGGTGCGAATGAGGCGGTGGATGGGACCGACTAGAGTCCGAGTCCATGACGTTGCAAGAGAGTAGTCGATCGAGCTGGTTGACTACCTCACAGGTTGACGAACCTACTGACTAGTTGACTGACTGACTAGTTGACTGACTGACTCGTTGACTGACTAGTTGACTGACTCGTTATTCGAGCGGTTGGTCGACTATCAGTGGCAAGGGTAGCTTCGACGCGCTCTTTTCCGTTGTGAGGTGGTGGATGTCGAGACCGGCGTGGCGGTTGTCCGTCTGGTTGTTTGCCCCCGTCCATGTGCTTTGGGGATGGACGACCGGACGGTGAGTGCCAAGTGGCAAAGAACGCGCCACTCGATTGGCTTGATGCAGACCTCGAGTCGTTGCTAACCTCGCTCCCATCCTATCAGCTGTAGACAGTGCAGCGAAGACGGCCACCACGTGGAGACAGCCTGACGTCGTTCGGACGTCTTTTGCTGGGAGCGACGGCCTTGATGAGTCGATCTCGAGCGATTGGGAGCCGTTGCTGTCTATGCAGAACACGTAACACAGGAGAGAGGAGAACGACGCGGACGACGGGTTGTTCACGGTAAAGACATCGGTGATGGACATCCGAGTGAGATGCTCGGAAGACGAAGCGACAGGAAGTCGGAAGCGCGAAGGGCTCCGATGAACAGATCGTAGCGATGTGAACCTGCTGTTTCCACAAGCTGTTTCGGGTCTCTACATGGCACAAGCAGATGAACTTGACCAAGTTCACCGTCTCGAAAGGGGGTCCCGACTCGAGACAAGTTGTCGAGAGCTTTCGACACAGCGTCACGCTCTCTCGTAAGTGACGACGTTAGCGAGTGTCGATACCTTTCAACGGGGTCCGCTCCGTGACAACGTAACCCACTCTCACTTGGTTGATGTTGCAGTGACAAGGAGCTCACCGACTTTCAGGTCTTCGCGACGCTTCGTCCGTCCATCAATCGATCGGTCTGTCGTGCTCCGTCTTCCTTCCTGCTTTGAGCGATGCCGTGAATGGTACAGGAACATGTTGCTGCCATCTGCTAGACGATGACGAGACCATTACGCACCTGACTCGATCAAGAACCAAAGTCTCTTGTTCGTTCTGTATCGTCTGTTGGATGGAGAGGGTGGAGCTCAAGTCAAGTCCAGTCGCGTCCCGTCCCGTCACGTCACGTCTTTTGACCCACACGAGTGTCACCACCTGGAGCAAGTCCTTTGTCTTTCGAGACCGTCCCACCTTCATCCTCGCACGTCAAGTCCGAGTTCAGCGGTTCAAGTCCAAAGACGTGACCGAGCACTTGAACGACCGCTCACGTCTGATGAGACTGGGGACGCAACAGGAACAAAACGTGTTCACGAACGGAAGCGAATCAATCGCGTCGTGACTGTCCTCGCGCCATCAGGAACAGGACTTGAGTTCAGTGCGTGGACTGAGCTCCTCATTGAAATCTTGAGGATGCCAAGCGTTTTGTCGCCGGGAATGGATTCATCCCGCTTCCAATCGATTGTGAGCCACGTCTGCTGCCACGTGAAGCGTCGCACTTGTCCGTATGACGACCGACGTCCAACCCCGTCTCTCTCTCTCTCTCTCTCTCACCTACAAAGATCGTCAAGAGCACGATCTCGCTCCATGAATTGAGCCATTTGTGTAGTTTCTCTAGGCTTTTGATGCACAACTGTTGAGTTAGATGCGACTTGGTTTGCTTTTTCCAGGACACTATCGGAGGTGACACTCGCGAACAACCTCAACGGCAAAGGGAGATGACCAGGAAAGCGGAGAGCACTGGACGAAAAGGGATCCAAAGCCGCGGGATGCCGCAACGAGCGATGGATTTTTCCAACAATCGTCGGCAAAGCTTTCACTCCAAAGCTTTCGTAGCTTTCCGTCCACTACCGTCATCACTTTTTACGAATGGATACTCGACAATCCTTGACGTCTCCTCTTTTTCCCGGTCGTTGATGTGCCTCTCACATTGACAAGACCAGCTGCACCCACAGTGGGAACATGACACCCACTGCATCGCAAACCATGTAGAAGCGCGACGAGATCGACAACAAAAACTTCAAGCTCTGCCTCGTTTTTTCTTGTCAGAATTTCGAGTTCATCAACGACATCTTGAGATTCTTTAGCGACGTTATCACTCAGTTCTCAATGGTCGGGGATACTATTGCGTAGAGATGATACAGCTTGTAGGTCCCAGCAAGCAATGAAGCACTACCGCTGTTCCAAGCTTGATACACTAGTCGTGCAATTTCCAGCCTTCGTGGTCGACTGTAGAGTGATACGATGCTGCGATGTGTTGTTAGTCCCATCCGGTATGCTACTGATAGTCAGTATCCGTCATTCATGAGGTTGTCACTTTCATATCGCCATGTTACAACGCACACAAAAGAAGCGTGTACTCGTACGGACGTGGTAATAAGTTTACCAAGCCGCATAGGATTGAGATGGAGAAGTGTATGGAGCTTGCAAGTTCTGATCATTGTTTATGTAGTAGAGCGCATTTTGAACCACGATCTCTCACTGAAAAACCTGGCCTTCAAGCTCTTCGTATTCACGTTGCCGCGACATTCGAGTCGATCGTTAAGGTGAGATCTCACACAAGTCAAGGCGCTTGCCTCGTGGGTTTTTTTTCAGCCTGTAGTCATCAAACAACTAATGGGCTAGATACACGCACTATAAAAGCGAAGTGGGGGCTCACTCACAAAGCCACATTCACATTCTCTGCTGCAAGTTCGCATTGCTACGAGGTACGATAATCAGCGATCGTTCACTCTTACAGGTCGGAAGATCAAAGCGTCAGTTCTTTTTTTTTACCTTTCTTGCTCATCCCCGGAAATGCTGATAGCAACATGGCAATATCTAGGGCACGTTGCATAAACGTTTTGCACAGAGCCTACATGCCGATGTATCAATAAGCTTCGATCAGCTACCAATCGAAAGCATCAATTGAGTAAACATCCCCACTGCAAGAACTTACCCAGCACTGTCGCACTTGACGGTCGTTTGTCCTGCTCTTTTGCGCTTGACAAAGAAAATATGAAAGAGCGTATGCTGGTCGACACGATGCTGATCGCACATACAAAGTGCTCTTTGTACCCCGTTCCTGATTACTTTATGTTCTGGTGTATCAATGAACATCATTTCAATCTTGTTTGTTGAGTGCGCGGTTTGATTTAAGACTGATGCTACTGAACGAAAGTATGCTTATGGATGTATCAAAGACGCAACAAGCTATTGCTGGACGTTGATGACGAACGGGGCTAACTCCGAATAAGTGCTTGTCTTGGTGAGCAGTAGCGGCATTTGTAAGGGAGCATACATGATAGATTTAGAAGTACTTCAAATTTCAGTGCCGTGGCTACCCACTTGTCTCTTTCATGATCGGATGAACTCATGAGGTTTGCCAGCGGTATAAGTTCATCTATGAGTGTAAGTACGGCCTCGACCTGAAGCATAATCGTTTAATGCTGTGTAGTTCACAGCAATAGACGATAAAGAAAGAGGAGATCAGATCTCGTGGACGTCTTCTTGCTGGAGATGAAACAGCTGCAGCGTTTTCTAGCAGCAAAAAAGCTTTTGCTGATCGAACAGTTGCCACTTGCATATCAGCGATCATCCACACCGCAGAGATGTAATATAGTACTCGACAAAACGATGCATCACCACAAAAAGATGTTAGCGACGCTGCTATCGAAAAAAGCAGAGATGCTATTGTGTGTTATCCGCGAGCACTCCAACAGTATAGAATCGCGTATCTTGAGTGCTTGTAGAAAAGATGAAGGTCCCAGCTCAAACATAGACTTGGCCCTGTCATCAGACAGCAAACATTGAAAAAAAGGAGCAACGACAGCTATGTAAATACATCAGCAGATTATAGATCACACCAAACAGCCAGAATAAGTGCCACCTCTTACCCGCTTCAGATTTACAGACGGGGCTCCAATTGCTTCAAAGAATGCAGATGATTGTCTTCTTCAGCAAACTCCAGACGCTTCTGGGCCTTTAGCAGCATTCGCATCTCGCGCTGATTGTCTTGATCAATCTTCAAACCCTTTTCGATCGACCTCAATGCATCCTTTTCGTCTAGATTCAGCACTGTAAAGTAGCTAGATGTTTCGAATCGGTAAGCGACACAGAAGATGAGGATATGACTCAACTCCTGTGTATACAAGGATAATTATAGACAAACGCACGTACCCGTTATGAGATTTGCGCTCGCCACTGTCGATCACGGAGTTGATAAACACTTCGACTTCGACTTCTAGACGATAGCGACTGAATGAAGTAAAGCGGTCACGGAAGATACGCAACACAATCAGCAGATCAATTTGTATAACCGAAGCAGTAAGATCATGCAGCAGATACTAAAACGCACCGAACGTTGACAACTCGAGCGCGCGCCGTGACGACATCCGCGACCGAGATGGGAAGCTTGAAAAGTACGCGATTCATTGCAATAGTCACCATTTTTCCCGACTTTGTAAAGTTTCGTGCACAGTACAAGGCCGCTCGATCCTGAAAAAGAGCACACACGTTTACCATCAACCTTTGTAACGTCACCTACTCGAGCTACAAGCAAGGGACTTCTCTGTACCATCCAAGTGAGCAGATCACCACCGAAAACCGTCTCATTGATATTCAAATTGCGAGGCAAGAACCAGTTGCGGACTTCAATCTCCGTCTCGCTCACAGCAACGTATTCCTCCTTGGGCTTTCCTGGCAGCACATCACTTTTCCGAATAAACTGGAGTTGATCCACTGCCTCTTGTTCCTTTCTCCACCTCGTAGCCAGTTCCTTGCGCTGGCGTGTAATTTGTTGCATTTCTTGACAAAAAGCTGCTTGGTCAGCATCAAAAAGTTGTGGTAGTCCTTTTCTCGGACGACCGAACCGATTGATCGCTACCATTGTGATCAAAGCACCATGTGTGTGCTGGAATGCGCCACTTAAAATGTCGTGGCGATAGCCACTCACTTGCACTGCTATACTGGAATTTCCAAGACTAATAATTTCGCCTTCAACCCGAACTAAATCTCCATGAAAAACGGGCTTGACCAAATCCACTCGGTCAAATGAGATCGTAGCAGTGGGACCCAAAGATACTCGCGATGAGATCGTGCCAGCTAAAACATCCATAAGCTCGAGGATTGGACCCGTTCGGAGCCACTGACCTTTTTGACTTTCATCGCCCTAGTAGAAGGCAGCATAGCGATAAAGATAAATTAATATAAGTTTGTAAATAATATCGAATTTTCTTATTACGTCATTTTTTGTGTATACGAGGGGAGAGGAATGTATCTGAAGTCGTACAATAATGTCGGAAAATGCGAGACGCGTGTCTTTGGCACGCACTTGGGAGGGCATGCGACGCCTACGCCACAAGTATTGAGCTGTTTCGACCACTTTCTTAATCATGAAAGTGTTGGCGCAATGTGATGCTTTTTGTAAAAATTCTACGATTAGGCTTGACTCTTATCCTGTTCATATGCTGCTCTTTTGAAGTACAGAGAAGAAAACACAGTTTACACGGAAACTGGATGGTCTTTACTGTGTTTTTTGAGGATACAAAGCGGGTACGCATGTCGTCTTAGACTGACGAAATTCCTCCTTCCAGGTTTATAGGGATAAACGCTGCCGGATAGAAACACGAATAGCATCCTTCGCGCTCCTATAAGGCGATGTCGCTCTGGCGATATGCGACAATCTATGTGGTCATGCATTGTACTGTTTTATGCGATGGGCGATGTAAGCGCTCACAAATTACATTTATAGCGTAACTTTGCCAAACTTTATGCTGTGAAGCGCAATCAAACGAATCGCGTAAAACAGCAAAGATGCTGTGGTTAAACGTCCACCTTTGTAATGTCCTGACCCGTAGTCGTCGATGTGTCCACCAACACGCTCGGCGCGGCGTATGCTAATGACAACCAGTAATTCTTTCGTCCATGTATCGAAATTCATTTGGCTATCGCCATAGATGAGTAGCTTCCAGTAGCGTAGATATTGGCAAATGCCCACGCAACGTCAATGTGATCGTCATGGGAAGCGTCTAAGAGGTCTGCTTTTAGGAAATTCTGAAAAGTTAATCGCTCAACGAAGATGGGATCACAACTGTCGCATCGATGGCGATACCCGATTGCTCACTATCTAAAGCTGCATCCGTATTCATGCGAGCGACTGAAATGAAGAAGAGCACATCCATGTCCAGGTACACATTCTGTATCATTTGTGTTTTTGCTCAGTTCATTGTCATGCCGCAGTCGTAAACCTCTGGTTGCTTTTGAGATGTACTTCGGTGTCGATGCGCCTGGTAGCCTGCGCTCAGCCTTTTCGGACAATGCACAAGTCGCCACTGCGACCAGCTTTGATCGACATAATACGGCGTGTCGATATGAAGCTGTAAAACTTACGCTCAAGCTGAAGCTTCGACTCTTAGCTCTCACACCATGTCTACTGCTCATATGTTCACTATGTTGGCACCTTCAGTGATTTTTAGCAATCAGCAAGCTACCGAGAAGTGTAGTGAGCTCTCTTTTATCTGTCTGTGCTGTTGACATTGACACAAGAAGATCTAATGATCCTGTCTGTACCTTTTGTTTTGTGCTATGCAATTCCTACCCAACCTTTTCAGCTTTATGGTAAGGACGAAGACAGTAGTGATAGGGATAATCAAGGGTTAAGATGATATTAACCACTTGAATGCTTCGTTCGAGATAGAACATATCGCTTGTCGCTTTGCTGTTTTCTGACAGGTCCACGAACGAGATCTAGTCTGGCGAGAACGCTAATAACAGGCGCAAAAGCTGATAAGGTGATCCGATTGCTCTTCCAGAAGTTTGAAGAGTAGTGAATAGAGCAATCAACGGGAATTTTGCTGGCTGAATGTGTACAACGCTCAGTAGGATGATACTTAGAGCTCGCTGAGTGCAGTAGCTCTACACGCAGTACTCTGACCATGTATTACATATGCTAAGGTTTGTGTTCAAAATGCAGGAACCGAAGTTGACCCTAAGATAAGTAATCGGACAGTTTTTTGTTGTTGTTATGCATGCGTTGTGCGTTTGCTTCTGTCGCACTCATGTTGATGTATACGATAAAATGCGGATGATGTTTGTATAAAATCAAGGGTACCCATTTTGCCACTTTTCTTGTGTAAGTATAGGGGGATTTGCCTTTGTTTGATTTATGTAACTCTGATATATTGCTATGCCATACACAAAGTACATCTGTTTTGCCTAAATGTTTTTAATACTATGGCCACGACTAGGAGCACACCACTTGTGCTACGGTCACACCCACCAGTCTAAAATTATAACATCCGGTAAGAGTTAACAATGCAGAATCATGTCGTGTAAGTACAGTAGATTTGTGTGTAGATGCCCCCATCCGGATTGCTTAAGTTGTTGAGCCAAGGGTTCTGGAGCTTACGGAAGGGAATACTTCCTCCTGCAAAAGAAAGAGATTGTTTCCCAAAGACCCGTCTTGGCTGCGCAATTGTGTCTGAGACCCTTCAAGCTTATACAATACGACAGAAGCACCGGATAGAATGCGCACTAGCTCCAGACTACCGGCAGACAAAGGCCCGAGAGAATGACAACCATCGCTAAAAAAGCTCCAATCCCCACCTTCCGCTTTGTACCAGCTTTCCTTCCAGTAACGAGATGTAAACATCCTTATGCGGTTTTGCGGCTTCCCAAGGGTATATCGTCGTCGCCAGATCGAAGAAAACGAGATAGGGTCTGCAACAAGCCTACTACAATTGCGGTCGTAGCGGGAACAACAAGAACAGGCATAACCTCGGCGACGGTAACACAAGTTCTACCGACTTGATCCATTGCATCGTACAAAACAGAAGTCTGAATACTGAGCATGCCTTCATTATTGTGTCATCAATATCCGTGCTTCTATGCTTGTACTGGGCGTACTAGGTCCGTTTCTTTTGTATGTACGGCTTTGGTAACACGGTGCAATCCACGATCAGCACTGCACCTGGTTCGCGAACAGCTACACAAGCGAATAACTTAAAAAGGCCTTCCAAGCTCTCTACTTCACATGGATCATAACAACGGCTTCCTTCTGGAGTGTTGCCGGTGGCGGATTGTGACGCAACGCGTCTTTATCAGAGAGGGAATAAACATTCATTTACGAGGATTTACTACCCATCGACGCCAGCATTGCAATCTCTCCATATCACCCATTTGTTCAGCTGGTCTGTCTTTGTAACGCAGTGTTCGTAGTCGTTTTGGTTATTTAAGACGGGTGAACATGCCCGCAGCAAAAGTGGGATGTGTCCCTAATCGTGGCTTAATATCATACACAAATAGTTGCGCAGAAGTGACAAAAATGAAGTACTCTCTCAATTGCCAGCGACTAGTCGATCCACCTACATATATATTGCCACGACTCTGACTTTAAGGCAACAAGGGACGGCAAGTTCTTGTGCAACGTTGTTGTTTCCGACCCAAGTTAGAGTTCGAATGTATGAATGCTACCAAAGGCCGCAGCACAATAGATTATAGTACCATCTAGACGCAACTGGAGGACAAACAGACCCGGTTATAATGACATTAACATCCAAAATTGGTTTGTTTACTCAAATTGCTATGTAGATTCAGACTACACAATGGGCTTATTGTAAAGGGGTTACACAAATGGTGGTCATAACCAGATACAATGGTGTGGTACACACAGAAAGAGACCAGTGTCACTGATGAGGTGTACTATTGTATCACATACGCTAAACAATAATACCGTACCCTATCAATTATGGGTACAGGATTTCTATCGTAATAGAGTCTTCATGAAGGTGACGTATGTCTGGTGTGGTACAAAAGAAGAATCGCGATGAGGACTAATCGATTAGGTAGCGTAGTCTTAAGGTCAAAGACGTGAGTAAGGTCTATTATCGCTATAAATCAGTAAATATATTCAGTTCCGTTGTTGAGCAGTTTCAGACACGTGACTTTATCAGACGTCTCTGGTCGCTAGTGTTAAGTGCCTGAGTTAAGGCTAAGTACTCTTGGACATCAGTGCCACGTGGTTTCTTAGAGTCGTAGTCCCCTGAACCAGGACTAGAAGCTCAAGAGCTTGTAGATACACTTAGTGCTAAGTCTCACTCAGTCAGTAAGACTTGAGACCCTTCAAGTTGATACCAGTTTATTTAGAAAATTTTAAGAGACTCTACGAGTCTAGAAGTCTTCATTAAATAAAGGATTAAAGGTAGCTTCGCTGCACTTACTGTCGTAAGTGAATCCTAAGCATACAGATGTGCAAAGCATACTCTTTGTCTCGAGCGTACAGTATCAGTACTGGGCTTGCCAGGTTGAGCTGGATTGTAAAGGGTTTACTCGGCATTCATTGAACCGGTTATCTTGTGTGTCCACACCAAGTAAAGATTGGTGGATCTGGGCGGTACAGTATTGGTCCCATGTGCTTACGGTAATACCCCACCTTATCGGTTAGGGATAAGACTTCTATCATTGAATCGCAATGTAGAAGTCAGACAAGATTTATGGTTTTATATCGTAGCTAATAAACAAAAAAAGCTCGGTTCCCCTTTTTAATCGTTGTACACAAGTGCCTTGTAAAGGCGTAGTGTGTTGTAAAGGGCATTAGCCTTGTAAAGGCGCTTCATCTTGTTTAACTAGTAGTAACTAGTTAGTGTGTGATTTTTAAATCGTAAACACCTTGGAGCCGGTATTGATAAGCTTGTACGTTTAAACGACTGTACGTCGTTGTTTGTTTTCTATAACTAAGAGACTCTTTGAGTCTAAGGCTTCCTCAGTTAAGGAGCACTAAGTAGCTCCGCTACATGATGCATTTAGAAGTCTGACAAGACTAAAATAGGGTCATCTCTTGTCTACAATGCTCTTCACTTGGTAATGAGTTTAGATGGGGCAATGTCGGGAAACGGTGATGGACGGCAAATACCTGCTGATAATCAATCTGCTTTCGAATGCAAAAATATCAATTCATACATACAAAAAGTATCAATTGTTGCTATAACCGTAATGAGCGTACACACCAGTCGCGTAATTTGTGCAGTGTTAAATTCTCCTGCTGCGTCATTTGCAGGCTAGTAGCGCATGCTTTGACCGGCCTTCGTATATACGCGGATATCGTTGAAGACCTATGGTTGCACTGGACGGCACACGCATTTCATGGCTCCTCCAACTTACATTTTGACCGACACTCGGTACATATTTTATCGTTTGTCGCTGCCTCGATGTCAAATCCACTGATAGTGCTGGGTGATGCGGAGCGTGATGAAATCGTAGCGAATACGATACTCCAGGTGAACCTATTGTGCTAATGACAGAAGTGTGATCTATGCCGTCGGCTACGAGTATTTGATATATTACCATCTATCGATGCGCAACACCTAGACATACTTCTCTCCTAGCTGCTCTCGTTGTATCAGTTCACTGTATAGCAAGACTTCTTACAGCAAGATGGGTTTTGATATACACCCGATCAGTGCAACGCTTTGCCGTGCATTTTGGTGTGGTCGTTTCGAACTACTATTGCTCAATCGCATCTGAAACGCCACATCATTTTAGCACTGGCGCTTTCGACTGCCTCTGTGCAGCTACGAGACTACGAGTCGACCACGCAAGTGCAACGTTCTATCAAACGACTGCACACACGAGCTGTGTTTAGCATACTAAAAGCAAGTGTGATAAGACCGATCGCGGCGTGATACCACAGTCGTGACGATCGTTATAAATCTCGTCAACACTTTTGAGTGGAAGGTTTTCAGGTACTCGACTACTTGTAATAGACGAGACTGAATGAGAGTGACTGTATGTGTCGTGGCTATCCAGCTCGTTAAACACCTAGGAAGCAAAGTCGGTACTTTCCGGTGGAATACAAGACGCTCGTCTCTCTGGTGGCAATCGTGTGTACGTTAATGTGTCTTAGTAAAGAGTCAGACATTCCTCCACACCACGACAGACGGACGATTTGCGGCCTCCATCTCAGTATTGCCGTGTACACAGAACGAAAAGCGTCCAGTTGAAACGTTCGTGTCCACCCATAGTACGACTACTACAACATTAGGTGTCGTTTGAGGTGATTGAAGAGCTCCTGAAGTGATACGTCTGAATTTACGCACACAAACGTACAATATGCCATCACTACGCCCTATAACATGTCGTTTTCTCGAATAGTTATCGACAGTCAGCCTGACAACCCGACGAACGACGTCACGATACCCAAGTCGCTTGCAAAAAGCACGGCATTCGATCACTCTATCAAGTAGATCCCGCGACCGCAAAAAAGAACGACCTCAGCATCTCATCTGGCCGACAAATGCTGCTCGTCACTGCCGCATTTAACTCTATTCTACCCACTGAACCACCCACCCACCCACTACTTTATCCCACAATAATATATTTTGATTCTGGTCCGCCCTCCCAAATTCCATCATTTCTCACTTGGACACTTAATCGAAAAGACCCCGTCCGTCCATCCATCCACCCGACCCCGTCTCGAAAAGTGGGTCCATGGGCGCTGGCGATCGCCTCGCAAGGCCTCGGTTCCTCCACGAAACATCCCGTAAACGAGCTCCCGACGCCGCTCGACCAGCTGCTGCTTCGTCTCCACCCTCGACATCTCCACCATTAACCTCACTAAGTACGACGCACACGGAACCGTCAATGGTCGAGGAGCTCCAGCGCCGCAAAGCCGCTTTTCTCGCGCATTTCAAGAGCCACAGCACGCCGCTCTCGACGGCAGACGATACAGGAGCAGCTCCCGACTACCCGCAGTGCCAGTCGTTTGACGCTGCATTGATGCCGTCAGGAGGCGCCGAGTCCAAGTGTCACGTGTGCAATGTTCCGCTCCGTCTCTTGCGTGTCCGCGTGGGTTTTTTACACGGCTACTTTTGTGAAAAAAGGGTTTTGGGGTTTTATCCTAATCTTTGGCTTTTGTGTGTGCATCTATCTGTGTTTGTGGATGTTTTTTTTGTCTTGACTAGCACCATTGTCGAAATTGTGGACTGGATGTGTGTGGCGTACACAGCAAAAACCAAGTCCCGCTGCCTCATTTAGGCATTATGAAGGAAGTCCGGGTCTGTGACTTGTGCACGAGGTACTTGGTGCAACGTCGAGCAGGTTATCGGAGTCCAAAGACCTCAAGATCGAGACAGAATTCTAATCCCAATAGTGTCGAGCGAGAGAGCGATCTAGAGCTGCTCGTGTCGTCGCCAATGGAGAAAAGTGCAGCGGCAGTTGCACCCTCGACGCCGCCTCGAAGCTATCTCCCGTTAGTAGGTGGAGCATCTGTGACATGTGGGACACCCGATGCTGGCACTCGAGGAAGTTTCAGCTGCAAGTCTTTAGGAGCAGCTTCTGCGAGCACGAACGTTGGTGCGATGCCCGGTATTTTGTTCAGCTGCATGTTGGAGGAACAGGATAATACGATGGATGAAATCCTGTACTTGGGCACGTTTACAATGGGCGGACGGTCCCTTGCAAGTCGTCGCATGAGCGCGAATGTCGCGCTGTGGAAGTTCCGAGTGTTTATGCTGACGACAGCTGAGATGTTGTGTTTCAAAGCCACTGCGTCGATCACGGACGACGACAGTGTCCATGCGTCGGCTATGGCGCTCGGTGAAGTACGATCGTCGGTGCATTTGTCGGATATCCTCCACATTGAAGTAAACGACCAGTTTCCGCGCATTTTGACGGTGATTCGCTCCGATGGCAGAGTCTTTCGCGTGCGAGCGCGGACGCCGGAGCAGTGCACGGAGATTGCGGTCACATTGCGCAAGGCTATGCAGCTGTTTCAGGATGCACTGTACAAGCTGCAGCGTGGTCCGCAGCCTGAGGACAATTCGATCAGTTGTGTTACTGTCCAGCACGAGTCATCGCTTCCCGAGTTTGTAGTAGCTAGCAACCCGGCCGTCGGCGAAGCGTTTCAAGTGGACATGTATCCCTCAAGTATTCTCCGCTTTTACGTAAACGGCCCTTCGGCTAACGGTACAGCGCTTTATTCGCGCGAGATGCTCACCCATGGAGACAAGGGTAGTTCGCCTGTTGTGGTAGAGGCCGAGCCATTGGGAAACGGCCCGCGCGATGATCACGTGCTTCATGTTGCAGTGAAATCTGAGAAGGCTTTGAACTACTTGGAAGGAGAAACTAATCGACGCTTCTGGGGGCTTACTTCATTTCTTGCGGCAGTTGCAGCAGTCATGAACTCGATGGACACAAGGTCTTTTGAGCTTTTAGCGGGACTATCGGCGCTTGTATTGCTCATTACTCGCTTCCACGAGCGCATCAGTTTGTTGCTAACGACTAAACGATTCTCGAGGGCAAAGCAATTGCGTATAGAATGTGTCGAAATTACGATGGGGAAGAGCGATGGGTCATCGATGGGTGACGATGACGAACAAGCCGAAGAGCTCGACAGTCGTTTTCTTGCTGGATGTGAAGGTGACGTAGAGGAAGCAAAGGAACGGTACGCTGCGACAATGAAGTGGCGAAAGGAAAAGGATGTGGACACGATTTTGCTGCGTCCGTCGCACGTGTTCACGGACATGAAGGAGTGCTTCACACACTTCATACACAAAAAGGATCGACAGGGCCATCCAATTACTTTCGAGTTCCTTGGCGGTCAACGGAAGGCGATGCACGATTTTATCGGTCGCGGTATTTCGGAAGATGAAGCAATCATGCACCATGTCCGTTTAATGGAGTTTATGTGGAAAGTGGTAGACCCGCGGCCATTCCCGGAGGGCAATATGCTCAAGGTGTATGACATCAAGGGCATTTCGATGGCAGATCTATCGACGGACGTAGTGAACTACACAAAAAAGTGGGGCGAAATCATTGCCACGTACAACCCGGAGCGAGTCTACCAGGTGTTTCTCGTCAACCCACCGTCTTGGTTCAACCTCATTTGGAAACTCGTGTCTCCACTCGTTAATCCGAAAACACGTGAGCGTATTCACGTGCTCCGTGGCCAGAAAGACATTACCAAAGCGCTGCTGGAATTTGTTGCGCCGGAGAATTTGCCAAAGGAATACGGTGGTGAATGTCAGTGCGAAGGCGGATGTTTCACGCACTCGCCGGAAGAGAATGATATTCGCGAGTGGACCGAGTTTGTCAATGCCAACTATCATGGAGACCCTTGCGATCCAGTCCTTGTCGATGCATACGACAAACTTCGTGACAAGTATCAGAAACAGTTGCCACCTTCATCATCTCCTAGCACGACTGATTCTCTGCCAGTGTCTGATGGGGCAACGCATTAGAAAGCGACGAAGCAGCGCTACTCGTGCGTCTCAATTTCTACTGGTGGCTGCTACTTACGCGTGTACCCGATGGGCTATGTGCTCGGTCATGACGATACGTCGTCCGGTTTGCTGTTGTTTTCGCCGAGATGTAAAAGGTCGACCAAGTGACGAAGTGTAGGACGCCTGCAACCCCAACACAACAAATGTAGTGTGTAAGCATCAATTTGTACAAGTACATGTGATATGGGGTCCCGTACCCGTGCGGACAGTTCCATGGTTGATCCAGGCTTGAAAGGTTGTAAACGATCTACAAGCGATACAGCGCGGCAGACATTTTCAGCACCCCTTGTTTCTACTACACAGTTGCCGTGATCGTCGAGGCATACCTTCTGCATCTCCTCTTTGTGGAGAGCAGTACCAATCATGATCGAGCTCCTGCACGCCCGAGATGCGAACATTGCCGTGACTTTAGGCAGGCGTATCGTAGGCGAGTTCAGTGGTGTGTCCATCAGCAGGGATGCCAGTTCTCGAACATCTAGGGCGATACACACAATATGCGTCATGTCGGGAAATGTAAATAAACTACACCACGAACATACCTTCAGTTCCGAACTGCGTGTGTTTCGTGAAAGGCAGCGACAGCAGCCTCAATTTCTTTGTAGCTGGAGCGTTCTTGTCGACTAAGAATGTAAATCCGTTCTTTACAAACACCTTCATATGGTCCAAGATGATCAGTTCTTCTCGAGTTGTTAGCTCCAGCTGCAGTGGCTGGACAAGGGGTTGCTGGTGCATGACTGTAGTGTTCTGCAGCGTCTCATAATTATACTTTTCATCGCTCGCGTGCTGGTCGATGATGTACAGGTCGTTGTCCAGCTTGCCGATGATAAAACCAAGGTTGAACTGGCCAAGAACTTCCATACGCTTGAAATCTTCCTTCTTGAGCACGCGCTGCAGAGCTGCTGTAGCGACCTCGTTGTTTGCTTCCAGGTCGTTTTCACCCACCGAGGTCGAACACATTTTCGGCACTACCACGCGGCTAACCTTTCTCCTTTGCTCATACTCTCTTTCTTCCTCAAAATACTGATGGCGCTGTCTCATCATCTGGCGCATCGACCACGCATGCTCCAGCGCTGTCGAAGAAGTCAGCCCAGATGAGTCTGATTTCTGCCTTTTGACTGGATTCCGCGGTCCCTTTACGGGAGTGTCGATAGATGACAACGGATGTGTCTTTGGTAACGAAGGTTGCTTTCGTTTATGGGTGTCGCTGTTGCGTAGGGGTATGTTCTCCGCGCTATTGCACCCGTAACCATTTGACTCAATGTTTTCTGCAACCACTTGTTTCAGATCAGCCACTTTCATCTCGTTTTGGTCATTTTGGCGTGATCGCTCCATTGACTCGATATCGACTGGTACCTCATCATCATTAGTCCCGTTGCAAAAGGCAGGTGCACACCGAAGTTGCTCCGCTGGGTCGTGAGATGGTGCGGAAGTAGACTGCCTAGCGGACACTTCAGCCTTTGCAGCTGGACCGAACGTTGTCATCAAAGGCTGAACTGTAAACTTGCCTAGACTCGGCTCATAAAGTCGATGTAGACCCGACTTAAATGCATCAATGATTTCTGCTTCCTAGAATATCAACACAAAGATTGTAAATACAATATCACGTTTGCAAAGAAAAGAGTCCGCACGTACGTGCTTCACAAACGCTTCTCGCTTGTCCGGAGTAACATTGACGTCACAATCGCCGAGCGGAAGGCGAAAGTTTAGCACGCATGCGGGTTTGTGCTTCATTTCGTACTGTCGCCATACTTCGTTCAGCGATTTCGCCACCTGCCAGTACACAAACGACTCAGCATCATCACAAAACACTCAGTACGTCAAACATCGCACCTTTGGCAAGTCAACGGGTCGTCCATTGATGAAAAAAAACTGTCGGTCATTGTCACTTCGGCCGACGCCATCGCCGACTTTTGAGACATAGCCCACGACTCTTCGTTCGTGTCCACTCACAACAGTATCTTGACTCTCCGTACCAGCGTTTACCTCTCCAAAACCTTCTGCACTTTCACCCTTCGTCTCCCCGTCATTGTCTTTTTCCAATATCTCAGAAGCACATTGCAGCTCGAAGTCGACGTGGAGCAGCGTTTTGAAAAACTTGATACCAAACACATTGGCAATGTTCTCCCCCATGGTCTGATGTGCTTGAGTAGCTAGCACCACATGTCGAGTGGCATTTTTTCCAGCCACGGTGTTAAACACACAGAGCTTCACGTCTTCACAGCTAACAGCATAGGCTTGCAGCACCTTGAGCAGCTTGGCATAGTGCTTCTTACTATGCCGCTGGAACTCCTTGTACCGGACGGCCAGTGGCTGCGTAATTACCGTCACAACAGAATCAATCCCATATCAGCCTCTAAACACAACATCGATGATTGGGTACCCCTAATTAGTAATATCCTACATCGGACCTTAAATAGCTCGGTCACGGTGACAGTCGTACCCACAGGCCGCGCTCTCTTCGTCTCGTCCACTAGCGCTCCACTCGCGTCGTACTTAAGCAGAGCTCCCACGGCCTCGTTTGCTGTCCTCGTGCACACGGTAAAAGTGGCCGCCAGCTCACAAATCGCGCTCAAGGCTTCGCCACTTCAAGACCAGAAATACAAACAACCAATGCAATACTTGCATACATTACTTACCAAAAAAAACCTCAGTGAGGTTATGCAGGATAAAATCCAACGGATATATTAAAATAAAGAGTCCTCCCCTCACAGGACCCACCGGAAACCAAAGGACGCGACGCGCCCAAGGTCCTCAAAGCAACGGATCTTGCTGGTAAAGTGTTTGCTCGCCAGTGCCGCGTAATTCTCCGGCGCGACGCCCGCGCCATTGTCGCTCACCTCGAAAGCGTCTCGACCGAACTCCTGGAGCTTCACCTCGATCTGCGACGCGCCGGCGTCCAGCGCGTTCTCCACGAGCTCCTTGACGGCAGTCGCGAGGTCGACGATCGACTGGCCGCTGCAGATGCGCTGCATGTCGCGTCGCTCGAGCGCGCGCAACGTCGAGGTCAAGGTAGCGACGGCTGGGGTCGCCATTGAGTGCGGAAGTCAAGAGTGATGGTCACTTCAACGCTGACAAAAATCCGATTTCTAGCCGGGTTAAATTGCACGATTTCAGTGGTTCTACGGTCTGGTTTGTAATTTATTTTATAAAATACGTCTTTTGGACTAAAATAGACCCACTTCATTCGCACATGTTCAAAGGATAAATACGACGTTTGAGAATAAACGCCGTGTCATCACGATTTGATTTGTTTGCGTGTTACATTCTGACGATGCGCGAAAGTTATAACTTTGGTAGATATGGCGCTAACAACATGCAGTATTTTATGACCAGAGCGAACGAAGCGACGGCATTATCCTTATTGACCTATGCAACATGTCCTCTTGAGTGTAACGGGGCACCCTGAAGCTTGTACTGGTGACAGTACAAGCTACTTATTCTGATAACAGAATAAGGCGGTGCCTCGTAACTTCACGTACACTCGTACGTGCAGAGGAAGACGGTAAGAAGAAGCGAGTACTTGGTTAGAGTAAAAAGTAGAACTGTATTTATAATAGTTAATGTCTGCAATAAATCACTATTTATCTTCATCTAACTATGTCTGAATACAAATGTGCATATCAGTTATCTGCTCACCACTCATTGCGTGCGTCTGTCGTGGCGCGTCTTCGTTGGTTGATATAATGGCCTATATCAACCAATTAGGGACTACTTGGAAGTGCTACAGAATATTGTCCTTATGACAATATTCTGAGAATATAACTCTTATAGTTATATTCTATTAACAATTTCTTATAAATTGTTATGTAACGATTCACCCCGTTACATCATCCCCCCCTTAACCATCAGTCACTTTAGTGACTGATTGACTAAATGGATACTCGTCCCAAATCATTTGGGACGGGGTTTGCACTTGTTGGTCCGCGTCCACTTTCCAACATCTCATCGCATGGTAAACAAGCCCATGCGATGCGCGAGCAAGGCCGCCGAGAGCGCGTCTGCACGTCTCTGTGCGGACGCCGAAGCAGAAACTACAGCAACTGATATCCCATCGGTTGCTGAATCGACTCAGCCTGTATCACCTGGTGATGCAGGCGCTGGTCATGAAGACACTCGTGTCTTCACAGAGTACGAGCTCGGTGTCTCGTACTCTCCTGATACGGATGACGGATCCGTATCGACGGCAATTGAATCCAAGCCGCCTGCCAAGCGTGGCATGGACGATGCTTTGCGTCGCAGCATCTTTGGTTCATCTGATGAGTCAGATGAACCATCGCCGAAGCGAAGGCGCTCGAGGTCGCGAGACTCGGGCGCTAATAGTGGTGTCGTTTCTCCAATGGACACCACTTCACAGCGAGGTGCCAGTACTTCTGTCGGCACGTCGCAGGAAGAGCGGGACCGCAATGTGTTGCGTCTCGCTCCAGAAAAGAAGGCATGGATGCCTCCTAAATCTGTCATGGATCACTTGTCGGCGACGACGAGTGATCGTTATCGAACACGATTGTTCGATTCGTCAAGGATTCATCACCTTGACCCCAGCGCGAAAGACTATCGCGCTGAACATGAGTTCTTCATCGATGCTTTCTTCAGACATCGATGGTACAGTGGGAATCACAAACGTGATGGTCCCTCACTACTTCAGGCGTGGAACGCCTACATCCATAATCTCGAGGATGTAGGTCGTGACGCTTGGAACGACAAACTTATCAAAGCTCGTGATAAGTTTGAAAAGCGAACCCCGACAGGTGCACGCTACAAGCTGCATCGTCTGTCAAGGGAGAAAGGATTACCCTGCCTCTCTTGGGGAGACTCGTGCCCATGTTGTGTGAACAACTCTGCACGAGCACCTAAGGAGGCTTACCTCCTTACCAGCCCGTGGTGGCGCGTACGTGTCTCTACTGAGATGTACGAAGGGATTGACAACCTGAAATCCCTTTACGACCGTGCCGGGAAGACTTTCTCCGGCGGTCCTTCTGCGGCACAGGATGTGTCGCGTCGTACTGCTCGACCAGACCCAGTACGTCAACCATCAATTGGGAGCGGGGCTCCCAAGAATCCCAGGACGGGGATAGCCGCGCCACCGGACGAGGTAACTCGTCCGATGTCCGTTCACGTCGCGGTGGTTCAACAGCTGCTCAACTAGATAGCGCTGGCCACCGCGAGAGTCCTCTAATGGAGGTGGAGGAGGAGGAAAGACGCTCTCCACACGATCATGTGGATCGGTGTGTTCCCGAGAGCTTCTTTGATCGCGTAACGCAAGGGTTACGCGACGATCTCGAGCATGAGCGGAATAGGCGTCTCCAGATGGTGGACACTGCCTCGAAGCATCGAGCTGAGTTTGCCTTTGCTCAGCTTGAGAACGAGAGATCTCTGACATCTCTTCGTGACGAGCTAAGGGTAGCTCGTGGGATTGTTGATCGGTCTCGGGCTGAGATAACTGCTCTTCAGACCCTTGTTGATGCCCACCATCGGGAGCACAAGGCTCTCTGCGAGATGCTTGAGCGCAAGGGCGTTCTTCATCGGAAGAAGCAGCGTACTGATGGTACGGCTTAAGCCGACCAACGTAAAACGTGGGATGCGTTCGCATCTTACGTGGTAACTCGATCGTGTATGCATTGCCTAGGCGGTGCAATACACGAAATGGGCCAATGTACTTGGGTAGTAGTTTACTGCTACCCAAGTTAGTCACTACATGTTTTGGTAGATTAACCGTAGACAGTAGGACTAAGTCACCTTTATTAAATAAAAGAGTGTTTGCCCTTCCATTCTTGTCAGCGTTTTGCTTTTGCTTATCCACCGCTTCGGCGATGGAGTCTTGCACAAAACGGACTACCGTTTCACGAGCCAGTATGAAGTCATCTGATGACTCGTTAGCTTCAGTGTGCTGTGAGCGCACTGCAGCGACAACAACCTTTTCTTCAGTGAGGGCTTCCGCACTCTCACTGGGATCATTGTCTTCAGTGAGGGCTTCCGCACTCTCACTGGCATCATCTTCTTCGATATCGATGTTATCGATATCGGCATCAAACGCAATGACTTCTTCGTCAGAGCGTGATGAGCGTGAACCAAATCGGTTTTTGCTCGCGCGAGTCCCTCCCCCCTTAAACCAGAGTTACACTCTAGTAAGGTGGGTACACGCGGATGGCGCAAGCCATTCACGTAAAACGGTGTATGTGTCGTCGACGCATGCACCGAGTTGTTGATGGCAAACTCTACCATCGGCAAAAACTCACTCCAACTCTTAAAGGAGTGTACGTATCCTCGAAGTATCTCTTCAAGGACACGATTGGCACGTTCCGTCTGACCATCTGACTCTGGATGATCAGATGTTGACATCTTCAAGCGCGTTCCGAGTGATTTGAACACGGAACGCCAGAAATCAGCAGTGAATCGTGGATCTCTGTCTGATACGAGTTCACGGGGCAACCCATGAAGTCGGAAGATGGTGTCAATAAAGACACAAGCACAGCCACTTGCCGTGATTGTCTCTGGTACAGCCACAAGGTGTACCATTTTGCTGAGTCTGTCAACAAATACGAGAATACCCGTATTCCCGCGTGCGTCTTTGGGTAACCCGAAGACGAAATCCGTGAGATGGATTCCCAGCACTCAGCCGGAACCGGTAGAGGCTGTAAAGGTGCACGCAGTGAAGGACTTGACTTCACTCGTTGGCAGACTTCGCATGCGCGAACATACTTTCGCACAAACTGATACTGGCGGGGCCAGTAAAAGTCTCGACTTACCGTGAGATATGTTTTCTCTCGGCCACGATGTCCTCCTATAGGAGCATCGTGATACTCGAACATGATCCGCAAACGCAGATCAATATCATCTGGAATGACAACACGTGGTGTGTCACCAGAAACGGCTGTATAGTACAGTAAACCGTTACGAGTAGTGTATCGATCTGATGCAGATCGATACGCAGACGACAATCGTTTCAACGATTCTCGAGATGGTTGGGAGAGATGTGACAACAACTTCACTATCTCACCATCTTGGGCGTATGCCCGCCTCACATCATCATACAACGTTGTAGATGGAACTGAGGACGTCATAACCGCAACAGTGACTGTCTCACTGTTGGGTTTCGCGACTGTTTCAAAGTCGGGACGACGTGAGAGTGCATCAGCGACGACATTAAGTCGTCCTGGTTTGTACTCGACCGTAAAGTTGTATTCTGCAAAGAATGACAACCACCGCGCCTTTCGTTGTGAAAGGTGCGGGCTGTTCACTGCCGTGCGTAAGGACGCATGGTCAGTGTAAACAACGAAGGGTCTATCTCCTAATAGATAGACTCTGAACTTCGCGAGTGCATACTTCATGGCAAGGAGTTCCTTGTCATGCACTGGATAGTTCCGCTCAGCTGGTTGCAGCTGACGCGACTGATAGCAGACGACGCGTTCAACGCCTTCAAGGTCGTACTGCATTAATGCACAGCCGATTGCGAAATCGCTGGCATCACAGACCACATGAAATGGCCTGTCCTGATCGGCTATTGCTAGGACTGGGGATTGTATCAAGCTCTGCTTGATACCCTCAAAGGAGCGTTGACATTCAGCGTTCCATAACCACCTCTCGTTCTTTTTCAACAAACGAGAGAGGTGTACAGTCATCTCGGCGTAATTGCGTGAATACTTATGCAAATACGCCGCTAGCCCAAGGAATTTTCGAAGACCTTTGACATCGACCGGCACGGGCCAGTCGGTGATCGCCTTGATCTTTTCGGGATCAGGACGTACACCGTTCTTACCAACGATGCACCCAAGAAGTGGTATTTCGCTTGCTGCAAATATACACTTCTTGAGGTTTGCATACAATTGATGCTTTCGCATGATTGTAAGAACTTGTCGGACGTGGTACTTGTGAACCTCAACGTCCGACTTTCCATCCATAGCTCGACTATGGATGAATACGTCATCGAAATAACTCGGCGCGAATTCTCGTACTGGTCTCAACAGATGTGATACACATCTGTTGAACGTGGCAGGGGCATTACTAAGCCCTTGTGGCATTACTAGCCATTCCCAGA